AGCAGCCTACACCATCCCCTAAGCTTCCACCAAGGCGCACAACCCAAGGGAAGCGTGATGCTGTCCGTGGTGGAGCCAAGGAAGGAGCAGCCAAGGAGAGGCCCAAGAGAGCTGCCCACCCAAGGGATTTCCTCAAGTATGAAAGGCTTGGGGTTCCCAAGGCATTGCTGGTCCAAGAGGAGGAATATGAGGAGGAGAAGGGAGCTGAGGGGGAGATGGAGCAGATTTGTTGCTTTGGCGTCAACTTACCTCATGAGCCGGCGTCAATGGAGGAAGCTCTCGCTGGAGATGATCGAGAGGCGTGGCTGGCTTCAAGGGAGGATGAGTTCCAGAGCCACATGGAGAATGAAACATGGACCCTTACCAATCTTCCCCCAGGAAGGAAGGCATTGGACTGCACGTGGGTGTTACGTGTAAAGACCGATGCGGAGGGGAGGTTGGAGAGGTGCAAGACAAGGCTTGTGATCAAAGGCTTTCAGCAGAGAGAGGGAATTGACTTTCAAGAGGTGTTTGCTCCTGTTGCCAAGGCTCCTACGCTCCGGTTGTTGCTAGCAGCCGCTGCCGTTTGTGGCTGGAAGGTGGAGCAAATGGATGTGAGGACGGCATTCCTCTATGGCGTGGTAGATGAGGAGATCTACATGAAGCAGCCAGAGGGGTATGATGATGGGAGCGGACGTGTTTGCAGGCTCAACAAGGCCATCTATGGCCTCAAACAAGCTCCAAGGTGCTGGTATGCAAGGCTGGTGGAGGCGTTGGAGGCTCTTGGCTTCAAAGTTAGCGGCTGCGACGAGAGTCTCTTCATGACTGAGGGGGAGGAGGAGAAGGTATTTCTCCTTGTCTATGTCGATGACATCCTCCTCTTCTCTCCATCCCTAGAGAGGATCAAGGAGGTGCAAGGGAAGCTGAAGGAGACCTTTCAATGCAAGGCCCTTGGACCAGTGGGGTATTACCTTGGTCTTCACGTGGAGCGGGACGAGGTGAAGGGATGGTTGAGGCTTCACCAACACAAGTACCTTGCAGCCATGGGGGAGAAGTATGGGCTGGAGGAAGGGAGGAGTGTGAAGAATCCTTTACCCTCAGGGTTTCAGCTGCACCTTGATGAAGAGGAGGGTGAGGTGTTGGAGTACGAGTTGCAGCGTCGGTTCCAGTCAATGGTGGGGAGCTTGATGTACGCTTCGGTCAACACTCGCCCCGACATTGCGTTTTCAGTTTCACAGCTCGCTCGTGTGGTGTCTAGGCCCCTTCAAGAGCACCTGGATGCAGCAGAGAGGCTGGTGAGGTACTGCATGGCAACCTCAAGGGTGGGGCTGCAATATTCAGTGCATGGGCAGCTGAAGCAAAAGGGAGTGGAGGAGGTGAGCACAAAGACTGGTGCACCTGCAAGGCGTGGGCATTTGTACCTCTCGTGTTTCACCGATGCTACCTGGGCAAGTGACATCAGTGATGCTACATCCCATGGTGGCTATATATGCTGTGTTGGAGGGAGTCCAGTGAGTTGGAAGTCTAAGAAGCAAGGAGAGATAGCTCACTCATCAACGGAGAGCGAGTACATGGCGTTGTTTCATGGAGTGAAGGAGGTGGTTTGGATGAGGAGGTTGCTTGAGGAGTTGGGGCAGGAGCAAGAGGGCCCTACACCTGTGTTTTGTGACAGCCAAGGAGCAATTGCAATGGCGCGTAATGCTGTGCTCCATGGGCTGAACAAGCACATGCATATCAAGTGGCATTGGGTGAGGAAGGAGGTGAAGAAGGGCACCATCTCCTTGCACTACATCAACACTATCAAGCAACCTGCGGATTTCTTGACTAAGCGGCTTGCAGAGCATCAGCATTGGAGCTGTGCCACCTTGTGTGGCATGTCCTTCAACTAAGGGAGGCAGCTTCAGGGAGCAGCTAAGGGATGAATGAGAGCACGATGAGGGGGAGTTTGTTGTGCCAAAGTACTATAGTGGCACGGTCATCGCACTCCCATTCAGCCTACAAGCCTGCTCAGATTCTGGAATTTTGTGGGGTGGTGCTTCAACATTTGTTCTTCAAATCCTCAAAGTTTCAGAGTTTTTGAAGCAGTTTACAAGGCATTGCAACATTTTTAGTTTCAAGACTTATGGCATCCTGGAAGTGTGTGTTACTCTTTTTTGGTAACACCCGAGTTCACCATTTCGGCTGCTGACTCATCTACCGAGCTCTGATTGGTCTGAAAATCGGTGTGGCAGTCCTTTGCCATGTTTTACAGGTGGTCACCGAGTTTCAAGACAACCCAGCATCGGAGCAGCACGTGACAGCTGTCGAAAGTTACTGTTCCGTAGTCATGGTGCACTGTTGGCAGCATTTCCCTTGCCACCCTTTCATTGTTGTCATGCCAATGGTGCAGGGACAGAGAATGAGACAAGAAGTACAGGTGGTCAAGTGGGACTCTACCACCCTCCTTTTGAGAAGTGTGGTCTTCCTGGAAGCAGCTTGCAAGAGGGTGCAAGTGGGAAGACAAGCTGACTCATGGTTGGCTTGACTCACTATTGGTAGCCTTGAGTACAGCTCTGAACATCCAAGTGTGGTTGGCTTTGCTGACCTAGCTAGGACGTTTCCCATCCTTCTCTAGCCTTTCTCCCCTAGGACTCAACCTTCTCTGAGTTCCCAGGATGGTCCCAACCCCTTAAGAGTCCCCTAGGCAATGTTGCACTTAACCTCTTCCTTGCATCAATGAAGCTACTCGTTTTTCAGCCGAGCTTACGTTTTTGTTCACTGCGTAGCACATACAACTCTGATGAAAGCAAGCCATATACCGTTGGAAAGCAGACACCTGAAGCTAACGTCTGTCCAAGTTTCAGCCTCGTTTGTTATCGGAGCTGATCGTGACGGCGTTTTGAACAGAGGCGGTTCGAAGTCATCAGATTCTGCTTAGGTGGTTTCAAGGGCATCTACGACCCCTAAGTGGACTCTAGACTATAACATTCCCCTTGCGCAGCAAGGGTCAGGTCGTTGATGTCTTGATCCCTTGGATCCGCACTATCTGTCTCCAGCTCCACGAGCGGTTCGGCCAGGACCTTCCTGTCCTGCGTCGGCACTCTAACAGAGCTAGTGAGTTCTCCTCCAACCTCTTGAGGGACTTTTGTCGTGGGGAGGGCATTCTCCAGTCGTTCACGCATCCGGCCTCTCCTCAACAAAATGGGATTGCTGAGTGCCGCATTGGCTTAGTCATGGAGGTCGCTCGTACCTCCGTGATCCATGCGGCTGCTCCCCATTTTCTGTGGTCGTTTGCAGTCCAGTAAGCTGAGCATCAGCTCAACCTCTGGCCCCATGTCTCCTTGCCGGAGACCTCACCCACACTGCGTTGGACGGGGAGGTTGGCAATGCATCAGTGTTCCGGGTCTGGGGATCTCGTGCCTTTGTTCGCGATACGTCTGCGGACAAGCTCTCCGCCCGCGCTTTTCCCTGCGTCTTCCTTGGCTTTTCCCCTGACGCGCCTGGCTGGCAGTTTTACCACCCCACCTCGCACCGTATCTTCCCCTCTCAGGACGTCACGCTTGACGAGTCGGTTCCCTTTTACCGTCTCTTCCCCTACCGCTCTGCTCCTCCCCCGCCCCCGCCGCTCTTCCTTGCTCCTGGTCCCCCTCCGGTAGACCCCCTCCCGCCCCAGGGTCCTGCTCCCTCAGGTGTGTCTCAGGTAGACAATCTCTCTGGTCCTGCGCCTGTTCAGGTAGCTGTCGGCTCAGGTGCTGCTCGAGGTGCTGCGTCTAGGGGTGCTGCATCTGGGGGTGCGGAGCCTGGGGGTGTGGATCCTGAGGGTGCTGAGACTAGGGGTGCTGAGCCTGGGGGTGCTGAGCCTGAGGGTGTTGAGCCTGGGGGTGCTGCGTCGGAGGGTGCGGAGTCTGGAGGTGCGGAGCCTCAGGGTGCTGCTTCGTCTGGAGTTTCTGCTGGTGCTTCGCCGAGACTGTCTCCGCAGCAGTTGCGTGAGTGGTTTGTTCGGCGTACGCACCTTCGGAGTGGAGCTTCTGGAGCTGGAGGTGCTGGCGCTGCTGGACCTGGAGGTACTGGAGTTGCTGCTGGAGCTGGTGTTACTGGAGGTACTGCGACCACTGTCCTGGAGGTGCTTGTACCCGGGGTACTGGAGCTGCCGGGACTGGTGGTGTTGAGGGTGCTGGAGCTGGAGACCTTACGGAGTCTGGTGCTACTGGTGCTGGTGGCGCTAGAGCTGGAGGAGCTGGAGTTGGAGGCACTGGCGCAGGAGGCGTTGTAGTTGGAAGCCCCGGTGTTGGAGGTGCTGGAGTTGGAGGAGCTGGAGCTGTTGACCCTGGTGGCGCTGTGCGGCCGCGACCGTACTTCGTTCCCCTGCTTCAGCAGGTTCTTGGTACCCCGTCTTCTAGTGACCTTACTCCTCCCCTCCTGTGTCCCCCGCCTGACCTGTCGCAGCCGCCGTTACAGCCGGCCTCTCCACTGCCTGCTCCTTCTCCTTACACTAAGCATTCCAGCGGTCTTACAGAGCGTTATGAGCCTGCGTCTTGTCCTGTCTCACCTGTTCGCATCGTTCCTCCTCTTCCCTCCTCCGCCAACCCCGCACCTTGACCCGCTCCACCTCTGCTTTCCTGCGCCAACCCCTCACGCCCTCCCCCTTGCCGCGTCCCCCTTTGCCGCCTCTCACCCCTCGCCCCCCCCCGCATGCCTTCTCTGCCACCTCCTCCTCCTCCTCCTCCCACAGGCAAGCGGCCTCAAGATCTGTGTTTTGCCACCTTGTTGAATCTGATCAAGTGGTGGATCAAGGGGTGGGTGAAGCGCCCAAGGCGGGTCAAGTAGACATTCAGAGAAGCAGACACGGCCGATCACGCAGCAGCATCAGCTTCAGCTTCAGTGGGACCAACAGCAACGTTGGGTGTTGTGGTAGTGAGACTCCCAATGCAATCCGCAGCAGCAGTAGCAGCAGCAGCAGCAGCAGCAGCGTCAGCATCACCAACAACAGCTGGCAGTTGGGTCGATCGGCTTCTCTTCACGTCCTCATCCCGCCTCCTCTCATGGACGCCCCATCCTCAACCCCTCCCCAGGCAATTCCTTCCTCTTCTCCCAATTCCGCCTACCCTCCCTTGAAACCTCCTCCTGGTATGGCCTCTCCGTCGCTCTCTTCCCTACCCTCTCCCGTACCCTCTCCCATGCCCACTGATAGAGGAGGGATGTACGACTTTCGGCGGTCAATCTCCGCTCAGACCGAACGGGAGTCCCAAAAACCACCTGCCAGGGCTGGGAGGCTGGAAAGGTCTGGCAAGTCAGGGGGGCTGGGCGCAGATCTGCTGTCTGACACACCGAAAGAGCGTGCCGGTCTGCCCAAGACGCCGAGGGCAGGAACCGATCTTCCTGGAACCTCCAAGGGACGCAGCGGGCTGCCGAAAACGCCGAGAACGTCGAGAACGGCGGAAGGGGATAGCGCCTTTCGTAAGTCGCCAACAGCAAGGAGCGAGCAGCCCAAGACCCCTGAAGCAGGCAATGAGGTGCCCAAAACCCTTCCCAGAGCACGAACTGAGCTGGGGCTGATGGCCCCAAGGGGGCAAAGGGAGCTGTTCAAGACCGCCAAAGCTGCCGTTGGTGCTGGTGGTGGTAGTGGTGCTGTTGGTGGCACTGCTGGTGCTGTCGGTGCTGCTGGTGGCGCTGCTGGTGCTGCTGCTGGTGCTAGTGGTGCTGTTACTGCTTCAAGTCCACGGGACGCAATGGATGAAGCTGCTGACGGCAGCAATGCGTCATCAACGCTGACAGCGGGTGGCGGCGGCGGTGGTGGTGGTGGTGGTGGTGGTGAGAGAAGCGGCAGGAAGAGCAGGATGATGAAGGCAGTGCTGAAGCTGTTTGGGAAGAGCCGGGGGAAAGGCCAGAGCCAGAGCCAGAGGCAGAGTGAGAGGCAGAGCCAGGGCGAGAACAAGAACAGCACGCAGGGAGCACCTGCAGATGCTCCAGCTAGCCAGATCACCCCTTCACTGAATTCCCGTTCCCTTAAGGGGCTGGATGTTGCTGGGTCTGCTTTTGGGGGCTCGTTTTGCTCTCTGGCTGCTGCCGCTGTTGTTGATGCTGCTGGTGGTGCTGCTTCTGGTGCTGCTTCTGGTGCTGGTGCTGGTGCTGGTGCTGGTGCTGTTGTTGATGCTGCTGGTGGTGCTGCTTCTGGTGCTGGTGCTGGTGCTGGTGCTGGTGCTGGTGCTGGTGCTGCTTCTGGTGCTGGTGCTGGTGCTGGTGCTGGTGCTAGTGCTGGTGCTGGTGCTGCTTCTGGTGCTGGTGATGATGCTGAATCTGTTGGTGACCTTGACGCTGATGCAGGAGAGACACTCTTCGACCTCCCATACTCATCCAATGGTCACCACCATGACGAGTTTTACGCTGACTTCACGATGCCTCTTTCCGAAAGCCCCACATCTCTTTACGGCAACACTAACAGCAGCACGGACGTGTTGACTCGCTTCAAGCGTGCTCTCTCTGACAAGACCGAGCGACCCCTGCCTCTTTTTGAGGACGTTCTTTATCCGGGCAGCAGTCCACGCCTTCCTGACAGCAGCACTGATGTGTTGGCCCGCTTCAAACGCGCTCTCTCTGACAACACTGAGCGGCCCCGGCACGACTCCCCACAGCACAGCCCATACGCTGCTGCTGCGGCATCGTCCTATGCAGCCTCCTCTCAGCATTCAACGCACACTGCCTCTCCACCTCCAAACTCAGATGTGTATGGTATCCCCGTGCACACTACTCCCGTGTACCCTTCTCCACTGCGTCGCCATCAGCCACGCAGCAGCATCGTCTGTAGCAATGTCAGGTGCACCCACAATCCTGGCAGCAGCAGCGTGTGCAGCAGAAGCAGGAGCGTCTACATACCTGGGGGCGGCAGCGGTGATATCAGCAGCAGCAGTGTGGGGGGCAGCGACAGCATGAGCGTCAGCAGTCACGGCAGCAGCAGCAGCAGCAGAAAGGTATCCCGGGCCCTCACCCCCACGCACACGTCTCACCTGCAAGCCTCCCCTTTAACCACGCACTATGTTTATCGCATGGCCAGTGGAGGTGGGGGAGGAGGAGGAGTAGCAGGAGGGGGAGGAGCTTTTGGGCTCTCTCCCACGTCCGTCCCACGCCCCGTCTCTCGCTGGCACAGGAGGAGCCGGTCTCTCACAATGCTGCAGCGAGCCTACGGTTCGGCCAGTGAGTTCCTGGGCTCGAGTGATCTGGATCTGCTCCTGCTGCAAGAAGCACCTGAATCAGATGAGTCACAGGAATTTCAGGGGTTGCAGGCATTGCAGGGAGCAGCGGCAGCACGGGAAGGACAGGAGGCTCAAGTAAGGCCCGTGCCCCGGCTCCCTCCAAAGAGTCCCCGAGTCCCTCGCAGCTCACAGGCGCGTGCAGACTCGCCTCGGAATCCCTTCTGGAATTCGTCCCAGAACCCGCCCCAGAACTCGGCAGGAACGTTTGGGTGGGGCGAGAATGTGACCCAAAAACTGCCCGAGAATTTGCCAGGAAACTGGCCCCAGAAATCGACTCAGAAATTGGCCCACAAGTTGCCCCAGAGCGTGTGGCAAGTGTCTTCACGTGGCGCTCAGCCTTCACAGCCTGAGGCGAGCACTGGTTCCTCTGCTCTCATGCGAAGCCAACGAGCAAAAGCTGCTGCCTTGGAATCAACTGAGAGCTGCAGGCATCCACCTGCTGGGGAAGAGCATTTGCTGCTGCAGCAGCAGGAACGGGAGCAGCAGCAGGGAGAGGAGGGGTTGAAGCAGGCAGCAGAAGGGCAGAAACTGCGGCAGGTGGCACACGGGCAGGTGGCACAAGGGCAGGAGGCGGAAGGGCACAGTGTGGGGCATGGGGGCTATGAGGCAGTGAGAGCCTCAGCAGCAGCACAACTGGCGCCACTCATTTGCCTCACCCCGCCCTGCACTTCCCCAGTTGACGCCTCCCCTTCACCAGCTAATGCCTCCCCGTCACAAGGTAGCGCCTCCCCTTTCCCAGTTGATGCCTCCCCTACCCCAGTTACAACCTCGCCTTGGCCCTTTGGCAGCAGTAGCAGCAGAAGCAGCAGAAGCATGAGCAGCAGAGACATAAAATCAGCAGCTGCAGCTGCTGCTGCTGCTGACGCTGCTCTCACCGCTGCCGCTTCAATCATCGCAGGAACAGCAGGAGCTCAAATAGAGGCAGTGGGTGGGTTCGTGGATGGATATGTGCACGGTTTTGAGCCGCCTCAGAACCCGGTTGATGATGGGTATGTGGATCGATACGCAGTCAAGGAGGTGAGTTTGGATGAGCAGCAGCAGAGGCAGCAGCAGCAGAAGCTGCAGCAGAATATAAAGGAGGAGTGGAGGGGAATGGGGGAGAGGGTTGTGGAGATGGAGGATGAGGAGAGGGAGGGGAAGGAAGAACAGGAAGAGGAGGCAGAGGAGGGATCTGCTCAGAAGCACCATACAGCAGCAGCAGGAGAAAGCACAATTTCATGGATGGACTTGAGCTACAACTTCTCGTCTCATCCTGGCGACTCACAGGATTCCAAAATCGTGTGTTCTTATATTGAGGAGCTTGTTGCCGGTGGTCGTTCTGATAGCGAGGAGGATGGCAGTGGCGTGTGTGCTTATAACGAAGCCCTTGCCGAGTGTGTGTATGGGGATGGTTCCTCAGCGAATGCTCCAAGGGAAAACACATGCAGTGGGGAAGAAGGGAGCATGGCGAGCGGCTATGGCAGGCGAGCACACAGGAGCAGCAGCGTGGGAAGGAGTATCCAGGGCGTGGAATTTGCAACTATCACTCCTGAAACCCAAGATGGGAGGCGATCGCGACACCGCAGGAGTGCCAGTGTCGCATGCGAACACACCTTTGAACGCGCCCTTGAAACGACCTTTGTTCCGACCCTGCGGCGCCGTGACAGTATGGGGAGCGTGGGGAGTGTGGGCAGTGCGAGTCTGGTGTGTGAGCGGATTTTGAGTGTGTGTGACATCTCACCTGTCCCCATTATCCTCTCTTCCCACCTGGACAGTCCCGGTTGGACTCGTAGGGCTGCTGAAGCAAAGATTCATGATGTGTACTTTGCAGGTAGTGATAATGCGTATGCAACAGTGGCAGTTGCAGAAGGAGGAGGAGAAGGAGAAGTGGCAGCAGAGGCATGGTCTGCGTCATCCGATGCAGTTGCGGACTACGCTTCTGTCGCAGCAGGGGCAGCTGTAGGATCATCCACAGGAGCAGCTTTAGGGGTAGCAGCAGGAGCAGCAGCAGGAGCGGCAGAAGGGGCAGCAGAAGCAGCAGCAGCAGGCCGAGCAACCCCCTCTGCTGCACCCCAGTTGCCAAGGAGACCTGCAGTTTCACGGCCGGGTGCGTCTAGAAGGTTTCTTCGGACCTCCAGCTGCCCTGATATTGAGGGCATGCCATTCGGCATTGGGCAGCCGCAAGCTGCACCTGCAGCAGCAGCAGCAGCAGCAGTAGGAAAAGCAGAAGCAGTAGCAGCAGTAGCTGCAGCAGAAGCAGCAGCAGAAGAAGAAGATGCAGAAGGGGAGGGAGGGAAGGAGGAGCAGGAGTCACTTGAGTCTCGGTTGAGGCGGTGGCATGAGAGCATGGGTGCCTCATCTTCCTTCTCCCCCTCACATCCTCCCCCCAGAGGGCTCTTTGTGCCCGGCCTGCCCCACTGGACCAAGCGGTCGCTCCCTCGCTCGCTGCGCATCTCCCGCTCGCTGCTCTCCTTTCAAGAGCGAGCGCTGCTGGAGCACCGTCAAGAGACCGCCCTCCTGCAGGGCATGGCTGGCAGATTAGATGGGAAAAACGATGGCGAGAAGGACGGTGAAAACGATCCGTGGAGTGTGAGGAATGGGGAGAGTGACGAAGCGATTGGCGAGGGGAGCAAGGAGGAGAGGAACAAGAGGAGAGCGAGGAGGTGTGCTCGAGCCAACAGCGACGGAGGTGTGGGCTCCCTGCTGTCAGCAGCAGCAGCAGCAGTAGCAGCACCGGTGTCCCCTGGCGAGTCGATTCGAGCGGCCGTGACGGTTTACTCGGCTTCCAGGGAGTTCTGGCGCCCCCCCTCCACCCCCAAGCCTGTGAAGCAAGCCAAGGTGTGCCTCCCCATGTACTCCCCCCCTGTGCCGCCCATCGGCCTCGAGAAGCTGATGGAGGGCGGGACTGGGGCAGGTGGGACTGGTGGGTTTGCTGGATTTGGTGGGGGAGGGGGGTGGGGGTTTGGTGCAGGCTGGTGGGGTGCGGTAGAGGGAGCAGGGGAAGAAAGGAAGGAGGGGACAGGAGAGGCTGGGTGGCTGGGGTTTGAAGGGTTGGTGGATGCGGCACGGGGGATGATGTGGAGGGGAGGAGATGAAGGTGGGGAGGGGGCAAAGGAGGAGGAGAAAGAGGGGAGTTTACGTGCAGCTACAGGGAAGGAGGGTATTGGGTACCAGGAAGGAGGGAGAGAGGCCGTGGAAGGAGAAGAGAAGGGTTTGACTGTAGAAAAGGAGGGAAAATGTTTTGAGAAAGGAGATGAGGAGGGAGATACAGGGGGGATTGCAGGAGAGGAAGGAACAAAGGGAGGTGGGTGACATACCAACAGAAAGAGGTGACTCGTGTTGGGCTGAGTGCCCCTTAGGATCTTTGGTAGGGTTAAACTCTGGGTAGAGTGATGTAGTAGCGGAAGCGTTTAAATGAAGTCCTTGAACCACCTTGCGCTGGTATGTGAGGGCAAAGTAAGTTGATTAAAACAAGCAAGTACAAAGGTTTATATAAGAGTACAAAGAATACGAAGAGATATAATTAAACTGTTTTACTGTTGCGGTTCGATACAGTGCGACTCGGGCAACTGCTCAATGTCGAGTCAGTTGTGTGTCCTTGCTGTCGCGCTGCATTTGTCAAGTCAAAGGTCGCTGACCTTTGACTTTCGCGTAACCTCCAGCGGTTACTTCAACCTCCGAGGGTTGACTCGCTGGTGCCTCGATATGCTCTGCTTCGCTTGTGCCTTGGTGTTTCGACACGACAGAGGCGCTTAAGATTGTTTGTTCCCAACACTCCCCTTCGCTTCTGGAGTGTCGCTGCTGGTGACGTGGCTTTGTCCAGTCAGCAGCATGCAGTACTCGAACTTCTGTTTTTCCGAGCTTCTTGGTCAAGTAGTCAGCTGCCATCTCGGACGTGGGACAGTAGGATAGTTCAAGTCTCCCCTTCTCAATCTCGTCTTTCACGAAGAAATATCGCAGAGCGATATGCTTCGTTCTGTTCGCGAATCCATTTTTGTTGGCGATGCGAATTGCAGATTGGTTGTCGCAGAACAGAGTGAAGTTGGGTAACTCGGCTAACTTCGCTTCTTCCAGCAGCTCGCGAAGATAGAGTCCTTCCTTGGTGGCTGAGCAGAGTGCAATATATTCTGCTTCAGCTGACGAGAGAGCAATTAATTCCTGCTTGCTCGATTGCCAGGAGATCGGTCCGATAGGTTCGAGGCGGTAGATGTAGCCGGTGCGGGAGCGCCTGTTGTCGGAGTCGCCAGCGTGATCAGCGTCGACGTAGCCGATTAATTTAGTCGGTGTAGTTGTGTTCTTGTAGTAAGTTAGGCCGATCGTTGAGGTACTGACGAAGTAGTGGAGAGCGCGGTCGAGCTCCGCCAGGTGTTCTGCTTCAGGCTTCTTCAGGTAGGTGGCGAGCTGGCTTGCGGAGTATGAGAGGTCGGGGCGGCAGGTGACAGCTGCGAAGAGAAGGCATCCTAGCTTTCTCTGGTAGTCGCGTATCCCGGCGGATTTGAGTAGAGAGGATCCTTCCTTGTGGTTTCCTGTCGCGTAGCGGTAGGGCGTAGAGATGGTGGTAGGTGTGAGCGCGAAGCGTTTGGCGATGGTGTACTTAGCGGCGTTGAGGTAGATCGCGCCTTCTTCTTCCCGAATGTTCAAGCCGAGGTACTGTGTGACGGTAGAGGAGACCGTGAGTGTGAGGTCCCTCTGTAGCTCCCCTTCGAACCAGGTGGTGATGTCGTCAGTGGAGCCGATGTAGAGTAGGTCGTCTACGTAGACGATCAGCAGAATGTAGTCGGTGTCTTTAGTGAGTCGGTACATTCCTTGGTCGTGAGGTAGTTGGCGGAATCCGATGCGAATGAGGCGAGCGTGTAGGTACTGTTGCCATAGCCGCGGAGCTTGCTTGATCCCGTAAAGTGATTCCAGCAGTTGACAGACTTGGTTAGGTTCCCCGTTGGTACCGTGTGGGAGCTCGACGAAGATTTCCACGTCGACAGGTGCGTAGAGGAACGCGTTGGCGACATCGATTTGCCGTAGCTTCCTTTTCTTCATGGCGGCGATCGCGAGGAGGATTCGAAGTGAGGTATGTCGGCTAACCGGGGCGAATGTCTCGGTGAAGTCCCGTCCGTGCTCCTGATCGAATCCACGCACAACCCAGCGTGCTTTGAACTTCTCAATTGTGCCGTCTGCTTTTGTTTTAACGCGGAAGACCCATTTCCCGGTGAGAATGGTCTTGTTCCTTGCCACGCTGATGGGGACAAATTTCCAGGTGTTCCGTTCCTCCAGCGCCTTTAACTCTCTGTCCATGGCTTCACGCCATTTTTCCCTGTGTTCCCCCCCCAGAGCCTGCTGAACCGTCGCAGGCTCCTTAGGAAGAGTGTTGCCGTGGACTGCGGTGACGAGTCCGAGAATCTGCAGTCCAGTCTGTGAGTAGCGGGGAAGAGTTGCATCCTCGGGATAAGCTGCTTCATCTCCCGCTTCTGGATCAGGTATGAAATTCGGTCCTACTCGTTCTGCTTCGTTGGTGTTGACTGTCGCAGGTGTTACGTAACCGTTGTCGGCGAAGTAGTAGAAGGTTTCGGCGTTGACACTTTCGCGAGGGTTATCTTCGTCCATGGGGACGTCGACGGAGCAGAACGGAAGGGGTCCAGCTTCTTCTGATGCGTTGGCCACATTCTGCTCGTCCCAGTCAGCTTCGTCTGCTGCCGAGGCGAAGGCTCGGTCACCACGAAAACCACCTGTGGGATCTTGGTCCTCTTGCAGGTTGGCAAGGTATGTCTGGAGCGTGAGTCGTTCGTAGAAAATGACGTCGCGTGTTGCTACTGTTTCCTTGGAGTGGACGTCAAAGATTTTCCACGCGTTGTAGTTCTTTTTGATGCCGAGGTGTAGTCCCCACTGTGCGCGTTGTGAAAATCGGCCCGCTCGTGCTGCTGGGGGTCGGTACTGTACCATGCATCCGAACACTCGTAACATTTTTGTGCTGCCCTGTTTTCCTGTCCACAGCAGATGCGGTGATGCGTTGTTCGGTAGTGATGAAGATGAGAGCAAGTTGTGCAGCATGACAGCGTGGTCCATCGCGTCAGGCCACTGGTGGTTGGGTAGCCGCATGCCACGCAACAGTTTGCGCATGCTGTTCTGCAGAGTCCTGTTCATTCTTTCTGCTACACCTTGCTGCTGATGGGCGTAGGGAAGAGAGAGGAGCTGCTTGATTCCCCTTTCCGCCAGGTACTGCTTGAATCGCTGAGAGGTGTATTCTCCTCCTCCGTTAGACTGGAAGCTTTTCAGCTTTACGCCCGACTCTCTTTCTGCTACTGGTAGCCAAGCAGCGAATGCTTCGAGGACCATGTCGCGGCTGGGTAGGTTTAGATGCCAGACGTAACGGGTGGCGGCGTCGATGAAGGTGATTGTGTAGTTGTATATTACTTGTCCTGGTTCCCGATTGTACAGGATGTCGCTATACACCTTTTCGAGTGGTGCGTACGCGGGTGTGCTCGGGTTGTGATGAGGAGTGAACGGCCGATGTGGTAAGTCGGCTTCGGGGCAGGTAAGACATGTTCCTCGTGCCCGTTGAAGTTCTCTGCCGTCGAGTAGTAGTAACGAGTCCTTGTCAAGGACTCCTGCTCTTATTGTGTTGTTTAACACAGTGTTGCTTGGGTGTCCCATGCGTGCGTGCCAGATGTCTTCGGAGGCGCGGTGTCCGGGTGAGCGTCGATACGCGTCGGAGTTGGAGTAGAAGCTGGCGGTGAAGTTTGCGCTTCTATGGACTTCCCGTTGAGCCGGATTCAGCTGCTGTGCGGGTGTTGGTGGTGCTTCGTCAACGAGGAGTGGTGTCGTTGTTGCTGCTACTGTTGTTGTTCCTGCTACTGCCGATGATGTCTCTGCTGCTGCCGATGATGTCTCTGCTGCTGCCGATGTTGTCTCTGCTGCTGCCGATGTTGTCTCTGCTGCTGCCGATGTTGTCTCTGCTGCTGCCGATGTTGTCTCTGCTGCTGCCGATGTTGTCTCTGTTGCTGCCGATGTTGTCTCTGCTGCTGCCGAATGTTGTATTGTTACTAACGCACGTGTTCGTTCTGCTTCAGGAATGGTATGTGAATACCAAAAGCCTTCCGGACTGAAGTCGGGGTCGAGATCCGGCGGGTGCGTCCAAGTTGTGAAGGTGACGATCCCGTCACTGTCTGCGGTGCCCAGGTCTGGGACGAAATCGAGAACGAAGACATTGTTCTTCAGGACCGCCTTTCCGATGTAGAAGCCGCCCTTCCCGTGGTACAGCTTGAACTCCTGGGTGGTACTGTCGGCTTCCAGATGTATGCCTTTCGCCATCAACTGACTGACGCTCAGTAAGTTGTAGCCAAGTCCTTCTGCTATTAGGACTTTGGACATTTGCAGTATGACATTCGTCTCTCGTGACTGAAGTTGCACTACTCCTTGTCGTCGTGTGCGCAGGTTCTGATTATTGGCGACAGTGATGACGACTTCTCGTTGAAGTTGGTGCTCGCGTTGAACGAAACGTCCTGAAGAGCACATATGTTGTCCGCAGCAACTGTCCAAGAACCATGTATCCTTCCCGGACGGCTCGCTTTGAGTGATGGCAGCATACGTCGGGTTCGGTTGAAGTGACTCGCGGCGAGGCGTGCTGTTGTCGAGTTGTTCTTCTGGTGAGTAATATGGTGGTGACTCAGTTACGCAGGAGTCACTCAGCCTTGCCATGCAGCTGACGATGTTTCTTGTTCCTTTCGCAGGTTGTCCCGTCGATGTTGTTGAGACTTGTACTGAAGTTGTCGGATTTGCTTGTGTTGAGGCGACTTGACTGCTTGAAGGGCGAAGTTGGCGTTGCGGCGACGTTGACTGTTGTCGATTCGGGCAGTGCGTACGAGGATGCCCTGAAGTCTTGCAGAGGTGGCAAAACGGAGGTACGATTTTCGGTCGATTGTTGTTGTTGTTGTGGCGCCGTTGAGTGTGAAACGCGAATTCGGGCACTGATACCTTTCTCTTGTGTCGTTCTTCTTGCAGGTCCATGTCTTGCTGCTCGGCGTGGATTTCGGCGCAAAGTGCTGCTTCAGAAATTTTCCCGTGGGCTCGTAGTATGGCGCGAGTGGAGCGCCAGTGAGGACCAAGACCGCCGATGACAACCGTGACGAAGGCGTCCTCTGAAATCGATCCTCCACATTGAAGAAGCTTGTCGCGCAGCTCGCGGCAGCGACTGATATACGCCATTCCCTTCTCGCCTGGTTTCATTTCGATTGTTGTCAGCTGCGCCATTAACCGACTTTGGTTTACGCTGTCTGTTGCTTGATACAGGCTCTTCAAGTGATTGTACGCGAGCTCCGCGGAGTTGCCGTAGCCTCGGTAAGACCGTATGTTTTGTTGTTGAGTTGGAGTGATGTTGGGCAGGGCCGGGATGACGACGGGAGGGGCCGACGCGCGGCCCCCCTTCAGTCGCCCCTCCCGTCGCCTGTCGAGGCGAGCCGCGCGGCCCCCCCCCCCCGGGCGCCGCGACGGGCGACGGGAATTGGGGCCGCGCGGGCCCCCCCGGGCGACGAAACCGCCGTGCGCCCCGGGGCGCGTGACGGGCAGGGCACCGCCGCGCGCCACGGGGCGCACGACGGGCAGAGAAGGGCGTCGCGCGGCCCCCAGGGCGGCGCGACGGTCAGAAAACCGCTGCGCGCCTCGAGCGCGCGGCGGGAAGAAAATTGGCCGCGCGCCATGGGCGCGCAGCTGACAGAAAGACAGTGCGCGCCCGAGGCGCGCGATAGGCAGGACAGCAGGAGCAGCAGCGGAAGCTAACGGTGGGCCCATGTACAGGATCGACCCGTGAGGGTCGACCTGCTCTGATTCCATGTTAAGAAACAGTTGAAAGTTAGAAATGAGAAAGAGAGGGTTTCACTAGCAAGCAGTTGAGTACATATAGGAAACCCTAGATTGGGCTGTACTCACTATTGAGTACCCCACTGCAGGCTAGACAAATATAACATATTCTGACAGTGTAATCCTACACTTTTGCTAATCCTACTCCCTGTTGTTGATTGCATGTGTGACAGCTGGATGTGACTGAGATTTCGAAGACTATTGAGTCCACCACGGGTGACCTGACTGAGCGCTACTTGACGACAAACAAACCGTTCGGGGGCGAGGGGAAGAGCTGGCTGGTAAACTTCCTCAAGGTCCACAAGGAGGGTGGAGGCAAGCAGGTCCGGGTTCGAGGCGTGGACGGAGAGGGATGCCCAATCAACCACCTCTATACCATGCATGAGAGGAAGCTGAAGGGCCACAAGCAGGGAAGCACCTACGCAGACTGCGTGAAGCTGTGCCGCCAATTTGCCCGCGACTGCGTGGACAACCTGAACGAACGGCTGGATGACCTTGGGAAGCTGGGCCCGACGAAGCTGTTCCGGGCGGGGAAGTGGCCGAAGATCAAGGCCCAGCGAGAGAAGAAGTGCAAGGAGTGGCTGTACGGATGCAGCAGGCTCTTCGGCCACAAGCTGCCGGGATTCGACCTCAAAGCAGCATAGAGGGAGCTCCCGACATTCTGCGCGATCATGGAGTCACACCATGAGATGGAGAGCTTCGCCCAGGGCCTTAACAACTTTCTTGGGAGCGTAGACTCAAAGAGGTAGGCCACTGCATGCGTACGAGCTTTTTACCTATTTGATTTTTATGTTGGTGATTATTAACATGTTGAATTCCAACTTGTTGATTTATTAAGTTCATACTTTTACATGTTTTGTTGTGATTCGAATGTGCCTGGCAGGAGATGGCCCAACCTCATCCTGCTGTGGCAGGCGCTGGCTGTGCTTCCCCTCTCCACCGTGGAGTGCGAGAGGGGGTTCTCCAGGCAGAACATCATCAAGTCCTGGGTGCGTGGAGCGCTCTGCAACGCGCGTCTGGGGGAGCTGATGCAGATATCGCTCCTGAAGTACGAGATCGAATGGCCGGAGGCACTAGAGGTGTGGAGGTCCATGCGGAGGAGGCGCCCTGTGAAGAGCCTGAAGCTGGCCGTGGCAGAGAGGGAGAGGAAGGGGAAGCAGAAGGAGGGTGAAGCTGTGGCTGCTGGAACTGCGGGGAGAACGAGGACGAGGGGGAGGAGGAGGAGGAGGACGATGAAGTGGAACAGGACTTGGCCGACGATCAGGAGGTCGTGGAAGAGGATGACAACCCTTACCTGTCAGACGATGAGGACGTAGAGGAGGTGTACTTCATTGACAAACCCGTGCACTAGATAGTGTAGGAAAGTTGAAGTTGTTGTATCAGTCATTTTGAAGTGTAGTGCAGTGTTAATAGCAACCCTGATTTTGAGCTGTGAACCCTGACGGATCAGACTAGGACTTTGTTCGACACTGAGCTATCAGGGTAGCTTCCCTGTGAAAAATGTGCGATCATAATAGAGGGGGAAATTTTTTCCGGGAATCAGGGAGGCCTAAAACGAAACGTCAGCCCTGCCACCACACCAACAGTCTGGATTGGTCAAGCGCCTCAACCTGCAGCTGGGCGACCAGGTCCTGACGCGCAGTCCAAGTCAAACCCACTCGCGAAAATTACGAAACGCAGAATACCGAAGTTCCGACCCCTCGCCAACTTCGCCAAACACGCCGACGAAGTTATAGCCCCGTGATCAACTCGCCGACAAATCCCGCATCGCAATCAATCTCTGAATTTCACGGCAAGTTTCATTTCGAGGGGTTGAGTTACCAATAAGAAATTACAGAGTGTCGCGACTCGGTAGTGCGACTCGATTTGTGAATGCATCCTATAAAATTGTATGTGAAAATTGTTGAAGTGATATTGGAAATTCCAGAGAACTCAAGAGAGCATCTTGTACCCGTTTTCCAAGCATACTAAGGCGCCACCTTCCTTGCACCCTCCGGAGAGAGGAAAAGGACAGCTTGAACGGCCGCCAGCCGATCAAAGCGACAAATGTCGCTCGCCAGCCGACCTAAGCGACGAATGCTGCTCGCCGGTCGTGACGGAAACCTGACGTCGCCAGGCTGGCACATATCGCCGGTGCCTAATGAGTCGATGGCCGTTCATGGCGATAGCTTGAAGCCGTCAGGAGGAGGATGGCACTGGTTGTCGTTGTCGCCTCGCCAGTGCCTGCCTGTCCAGTCGACGGCGTGTGGTGGTGGTGGACTGATGCGCGACAAGGCATGTCTCACGACCCTGCTTTTGACGAATCCCGAGCCAGAAGTTTTTCCTTGCGGAACTCCTTAACGCGGACACCCTTGCCGAACCGTTCTTCCACCGCCAGAGCGATCGTCAAGTCGTGTAGATGTGTTCGAGAATGTCACACCTGCATTGCTCCTGCGAACCGCTACGCAAGGCGATTGGTTGTCCCGGTCAAGATGCGTTCAAGATGCCTGTCGTGATAAAACGGTTTAGAATGAGAGGCGTGGATGGGAACATTTTTCGAGCCGCACAATTGTTGACGTGCGTGGGAACGAGAGACTCCTAGCGCCGCTCGAAGCACACAGCGTGACACCTAGAGTCAACACAATGGTTCCGCTCCTAGTCGCCTTCTTATGGGTCGAGGCATCGCATTCTGGGTACTTGTTTCCTATCGTCGGTGTTGTTTTTAACGGGAGAGAGAGAGAGGATCAATAGCCGTTACCGGATCTCACTTTTGATATGGCTGGCTGCCGATGATAGCTCTCTCCAAGTTCAAACCAAGTTCTGGTAGTAACGGCTCCGCTACTAGCAGTAGGACTAGTAGTCCGAGTTGTTCCTCAGCCGTACAAGCCCTCAGACACAATCCCTCCTTGGCATCCAGTCGTGATCCGACGTTTCTTGTAACAAGTGGTCTGTTCCAATCCGACGTTCCTTGGCATCGTGTCGTGCTCCAACACGAAAGCACGCGCTTTTCCTGATAAAGCCGTTCACAGCCATGGACGTTTGTGACTATATCGAGTTCGGTCTCCCCGGATCCGTGCTGTACCGGGGCTTTCTCCTGTCGGACCCTCCCGCTTCCGCTACCTCCACCGCACCTGGTGTTGTTACCGCGTCCAACAAGTCGCAGTCTTCGCCTTCACCTTCGCCTTATTCGATTATTCAGTCTGGGCAAGATCAAGAGGACACCACGATCATCCACCCGATCTCCACGTGGTATGACGTTCCGATTCGCCCTGCTAACTCAGGTTTGTCGCACGGCGGCGGCGGCCTGGATGGGCTTATGGCGGGCGACTGCGTTTCCATGGTGTGCTGCACGCCGCGTAACTCGTGGGTGCAAATCGGGGCGGCTTGCAACGAGGTGTGTCACCCTCTGCGCGTTCGCCAGGTGGACGGTTTGCCCTCTCATTACAGTCACAATCTCGATTGGAACCTCGGGATCATCCCGCAGACGTGCTCGTGCCGCCAAGGCGACAACGGAGTTCCCCAGTCTGGATCTGGCGACAAGGCATGCGACGCGGCGACATGCGCGACCATGTGCGACAATGCATGCGAGAGGGGGAGCGACCAACACGCGCCGTTGGAGGTGATCGAAATCGGAAGCGGGGAGGCTCGAGTGGGGCAGGTGTATCTGGTGAAGCCGCTGCTCGCTTTCCTCGTCGTCAGCCCCGATCTCAAGTCGTCCTGGAAGATCGTGGCCGTCGATTCTTCGGATCCGATGGCTGAGACGTTGCTGGATTCGCGAAGTGGTTACCCGGTTTGGCTGGAAGCGAAGCTGGGCGAAATCGTGGAGTGGCTGAAATACTACAAGTGTAACACCGTTTGTAAGTGGAGCCTCCATTCCACTCTGGCATGAGCAAGCGCAACCTCACCTCACCTCACTCGCCCCTTCAGTTTCTGGTCCATGCACCTCCCTAATACCCCTTCATGCTCTCTCGTGCCGTCCTCCCTGACTCCTTTCTCCCTTGTGCCGTGCTCCCTGGTTTCTCTCTCCCTTCTTTCGCACCGTAATTTCCCCATTCCCCCGGAACCCCATCCTCTTCCGTTCTCTCTCAACCATTATCCCTCCTGTTCCTCTTTGTCCTTTCCCCTGTCTCCCACCCCTTACCCCTTCTAGACCCTTTACTACCCCACCCCCCCACCCCACAACCCTCGTCCAGTCGATCTGCCCAGCACCATCGCGGGTCGTGAGAAGCCAGTGCCCTTGCATCGCACCTATTATCCTCCCCTCGCCCTCATCCCGCCCTCGTCCCTCCCCACCCCTCCCCACCCCTTCTCACTTCTTCCCCCCTCCCTTCCAGTCGATCCGCCCAGCACCATCGCGGGTCGTGAGAAGCCAGCGCCCTTGCATCGCACCATCGCCGCCATCAGCGCCGCCCATGCCGCCTGGACGCACTGCCGCCGCTACAGCAGCAGCAGCGCCAGCAGCACCAACACTACGAGCAGCAGCATTCCCAGGGACGGAGTTTCACTAAAGGATCTGAGGCAGCTCGCAGAGCAAACGGCCTCTGCTGCTCTCACCAACGCCATCTCTGAATTCGCCCGCGTGCCCTTCGCCCAACCTGCCTCCTTGCCTGTCGCCACTGCAGATGGTGCTTCTGTTGCCGAACCTGTGGGCCAGCAGGTTCGGAAGCAACGCCTGTTCCGAAGGTCAGGCTCGGAGCCAGGCTGGTGTGGCATGCGGAAGAAGGAGATTTCATTTAGAATTGACGAGCGAGCGGATGATTCAAGTGAGACTGATGGTGGGGGTGGGGATTGGGGGAGAGGAGACGAAGAAGGATGGCAAGTGTATGATGATGTGGAACAACAGCAGAAGCAGCAGCAGGCGCAGAAGCAGGGAGGGTTGGCGCGTATGAAAGTGCGGTGGCAGCAGCAGTGGCAACAGCAGCAGCAGCAGCAGCAGCAGCAGCAACAGCAGCAGCAGCAGAAGCAGCAGCAGCAGCAGAAGCAGCAGCAGCAGCAGCAGCAGCAGCAGCAGCAGCAGCAGCAGCAGCAGCAGCAGCAGCAGCAGCAGCAGCAGCAGCAGCAGCAGCAGCAGCAGCAGCAGGAGAAGCATCCGCAGCAGAAGGGGAAGCAGCAACAGCAGGAGGGGAAGCAGCAGCAGCAGGAGCAGCTGGAGGAGCAGGGGAAACAGACACAGCAGCAGGTGAAGCTGCAGCAGGAGGGCAGGAAGTTGACGAGGCACTGGCGATCCTCCTCGTCTTGTGCTCTTGAGATCCCTACAGGAATGCTGCTAGACTCTCCCTCACCCTTGCATCGTTCCTCCTCTTCCCTCCTCCGCCAACCCCGCACCTTGACCCGCTCCACCTCTGCTTTCCTGCGCCAACCCCTCACGCCCTCCCCCTTGCCGCGTCCCCCTTTGCCGCCTCTCACCCCTCGCCCCCCCCCGCATGCCTTCTCTGCCACCTCCTCCTCCTCCTCCTCCCACAGGCAAGCGGCCTCAAGATCTGTGTTTTGCCACCTTGTTGAATCTGATCAAGTGGTGGATCAAGGGGTGGGTGAAGCGCCCAAGGCGGGTCAAGTAGACATTCAGAGAAGCAGACACGGCCGATCACGCAGCAGCATCAGCTTCAGCTTCAGTGGGACCAACAGCAACGTTGGGTGTTGTGGTAGTGAGACTCCCAATGCAATCCGCAGCAGCAGTAGCAGCAGCAGCAGCAGCAGCAGCGTCAGCATCACCAACAACAGCTGGCAGTTGGGTCGATCGGCTTCTCTTCACGTCCTCATCCCGCCTCCTCTCATGGACGCCCCATCCTCAACCCCTCCCCAGGCAATTCCTTCCTCTTCTCCCAATTCCGCCTACCCTCCCTTGAAACCTCCTCCTGGTATGGCCTCTCCGTCGCTCTCTTCCCTACCCTCTCCCGTACCCTCTCCCATGCCCACTGATAGAGGAGGGATGTACGACTTTCGGCGGTCAATCTCCGCTCAGACCGAACGGGAGTCCCAAAAACCACCTGCCAGGGCTGGGAGGCTGGAAAGGTCTGGCAAGTCAGGGGGGCTGGGCGCAGATCTGCTGTCTGACACACCGAAAGAGCGTGCCGGTCTGCCCAAGACGCCGAGGGCAGGAACCGATCTTCCTGGAACCTCCAAGGGACGCAGCGGGCTGCCGAAAACGCCGAGAACGTCGAGAACGGCGGAAGGGGATAGCGCCTTTCGTAAGTCGCCAACAGCAAGGAGCGAGCAGCCCAAGACCCCTGAAGCAGGCAATGAGGTGCCCAAAACCCTTCCCAGAGCACGAACTGAGCTGGGGCTGATGGCCCCAAGGGGGCAAAGGGAGCTGTTCAAGACCGCCAAAGCTGCCGTTGGTGCTGGTGGTGGTAGTGGTGCTGTTGGTGGCACTGCTGGTGCTGCCGGTGCTGCTGGTGGCGCTGCTGGTGCTGCTGCTGGTGCTAGTGGTGCTGTTACTGCTTCAAGTCCACGGGACGCAATGGATGAAGCTGCTGACGGCAGCAATGCGTCATCAACGCTGACAGCGGGTGGCGGCGGCGGTGGTGGTGGTGGTGGTGGTGGTGAGAGAAGCGGCAGGAAGAGCAGGATGATGAAGGCAGTGCTGAAGCTGTTTGGGAAGAGCCGGGGGAAAGGCCAGAGCCAGAGCCAGAGGCAGAGTGAGAGGCAGAGCCAGGGCGAGAACAAGAACAGCACGCAGGGAGCACCTGCAGATGCTCCAGCTAGCCAGATCACCCCTTCACTGAATTCCCGTTCCCTTAAGGGGCTGGATGTTGCTGGGTCTGCTTTTGGGGGCTCGTTTTGCTCTCTGGCTGCTGCCGCTGTTGTTGATGCTGCTGGTGGTGCTGCTTCTGGTGCTGCTTCTGGTGCTGGTGCTGGTGCTGGTGCTGGTGCTGTTGTTGATGCTGCTGGTGGTGCTGCTTCTGGTGCTGGTGCTGGTGCTGGTGCTGGTGCTGGTGCTGGTGCTGGTGCTGGTGCTGCTTCTGGTGCTGGTGCTGGTGCTGGTGCTGGTGCTGGTGCTGGTGCTGGTGCTGCTTCTGGTGCTGGTGATGATGCTGAATCTGTTGGTGACCTTGACGCTGATGCAGGAGAGACACTCTTCGACCTCCCATACTCATCCAATGGTCACCACCATGACGAGTTTTACGCTGACTTCACGATGCCTCTTTCCGAAAGCCCCACATCTCTTTACGGCAACACTAACAGCAGCACGGACGTGTTGACTCGCTTCAAGCGTGCTCTCTCTGACAAGACCGAGCGACCCCTGCCTCTTTTTGAGGACGTTCTTTATCCGGGCAGCAGTCCACGCCTTCCTGACAGCAGCACTGATGTGTTGGCCCGCTTCAAACGCGCTCTCTCTGACAACACTGAGCGGCCCCGGCACGACTCCCCACAGCACAGCCCATACGCTGCTGCTGCGGCATCGTCCTATGCAGCCTCCTCTCAGCATTCAACGCACACTGCCTCTCCACCTCCAAACTCAGATGTGTATGGTATCCCCGTGCACACTACTCCCGTGTACCTATGGTACAGGAGCTGCCGGGTCTGGTGGTGTTGAGGGTGCTAGAGCTGGAGACCCTACGGAGTCTGGAGCTACTGATGCTGGCGGCTCTGGCGCTGGTGGCGCTGGAGCTGGAGGAGCTGGAGTTGGAGGCACTGGCGCAGGAGGCGCTGGAGTTGGAGGCCCTGGTGTTGGAGGTGCTGGAGCTAGAGGAGCTAGAGCTGTTGACCCTGGTGGCGCTGTGCGGCCGCGACCGTACTTCGTTCCCCTGCTTCAGCAGGTTCTTGGTACTCCGTCTTCTACAGGCCTTACTCCTCCCCTCCTGTGTCCCCCGCTTGACCAGTCGCAGCCGCCGTTACAGCCGGTCTCTCCACTGCCTGCTCCTTCTCCTTACACTGAGCAGTCCGGCGGTCTTACAGAGCGTCGTGAGCCTGCGTCTCGTCCTGTCTCGCCTGTTCACAATGCTCGTCGTGTTCCTCGTTTGCATCCTCCTCCTGTCCCCGGCACGCACGCTATGACCCTTCGTCCTTCCTCTGTTCCCCTGCGTGTTCCTCTGCCTGCTCCTCCTGAGTCCTCTCTTCCTCAGGTCCCTGACCCTGAGTCTGACTGCACTCGTGCTGCCAGTCCCACTGTCTCTCGTCTCCTCGCCACTGCTGTCACTGACCCTTCTTTTGAGTCTGCTGCTACGTCTGCTCTCGTTGCTGCGCTGATTGACTTTGCTGCTGCCTGCCGTCTAGACTACGCCGCTGCTCTTGTTACTGAGTCTGCGTCTGCCAGTCCTCCGTCCGTCGGGGGTGAGTGTGCTCTTGGCACGGACGTCCTTGAGGACAGGCAGGAGGAAATTGAGTGTCTTGCAGCTGCTATACCTCGTTTCGCTTCCATGCTGCTTGCCCCTGAGGGAGACCCGGATGCACCAGACATCCCGACCCCGCGCTCTTACGCAGAGGCGATTACGGGTCCTTAATCCTCTCAGTGGCAGGCAGCCATGGATGCCGAGATGGCATCCTGGAAGTCCACAGGCACCTACGTCGATGAGGTTACCCCACCTGGGGCGAACATAGTCGATGGCACGTGGATCTTCAGGGTGAAGCGGCTGCCGGTTTCTCCGCCTGCCTTCAAGGCGCGTTACGTTGCTCGAGGCTTCAGTCACCGACAGGGAGTTTATTACTTCCAGACCTTCTCCCTCACCCCAAAGATGACTACACTTCGGGTGTTGCTGCACGTCGCTGCTCAGCGTGACTACGAGTTGCACTCTCTGGACTTCAGCACAGCTTTCCTACAGGGCAGCCTACACGAGGAGATCTGGCTGCGCCGCCCACCTGGTTTCACTGAGTCTTTTCCTGCAAGTACTTAGTGGAGTCTTCGGCGTCCAGTCTACGGTCTCTGCTAGGTGCTTTGTGAGTGGCATAACACACTGAGGACTACACTTGCGGCTCTTGGGTTTGCTCCTACTACTGCAGACCAATCGCTGTTTCTACGCACCGACACCTCGCTGCCGCCTTTCTACGTCCTCGTCTACGTCAACGACCTCGTCTTTGCCACTGCTGACATTGAGGCACTGACCCTTGTGAAGTCGGAGCTGCAGAAAAGACACACCTGCACTGACCTGGGTGAACTGCACAGCTATCTTGGCTTGCAGATCACCCGGGACAGAGCTCGGCGCACCATTACCCAGACTCAGTCACACATGGTGCACCAGGTCCTTCAGCGCTTCGGCTTCCAGTTCTCCTCGCCACAGCCCACTCCTCTGTCTACCAGCCACTCGCTCTTAGCTCCACCTTCGGACGAGTCCGTAGAGCCGAGTGGTCCGTACGCCTCCTGGGTTAATGACTCAGCTACGCAGTTGTCGTCACAGGGTTACACTTTCAGCCTTGGCTCTGGCTCTGTTTCCTGCTCGTCTTTGGTTCTCAGCTCCAGTTGTGATGCTGAGATCTAAGCCGGGGCCATGGCTGCACAGGAGCTATGCTGACTCACCTTCCTGCAGACTGATTTGGGAGAGCAGCCTCGTTCGCCTCCAGTTCTGTACGTAGACAACAAGGCCATGATTGCCTTGTGTCAGGAGCACAGACTGGAGCACAGAACGAAGCACATCGCTCTGCGATACTTTCTTGCTCGAGAGTTGCAGCAGCGTGGCCAGCTTCGTGTTGCGTACGTGGCCACTAGGGAGAACACTGCTGATATATTCACCAAGGCACTTCGGCCTGGTGATCATCAGCGCTTCTCTACTGTGTTGGGCCTTGTGCCTACTTTGCCTCACTTGCTTACTGCTTGACTTTGCTTGTACAGTGATCTCTATATTTACTTGCATGCTTGCACTTGCTAGGGTATGATCACTGTATTCTTTGTTCTCTTTTATATGACTCTGCATGTGAACTGGCCTTGTGGCCCTTTGCTTGTGCTCGGACTGTGTTGTCAAAACATATGTGTTTACATTTCTTTAGGCTGTAGTGGATTTAGCCTTAGGGGGTACAGTATTTCTCTCGACATTCTACTTGTACCCTTCCCTTTCACCTAATGCATCATTCTCGTTAGTTATTCTTACATGGAATCAGAGTAGGTTACTTTTGGGCCCACCACCTGCTACTGCGCCTACCTAGTTCCTAGCCCCGCGCCCGGCCCGTACCTCGCCCGCGATAGGCCCGTACCTTGCCCGCGCCCGGCCCTGTCTCACGCCCGCGCCCGGCCCTTACCTAGCCCGCGATCGCCCCGTCGACACCTGCGCCCGGCCCCGTACCTAGCCCGCGCCCCGTCGACGCCCGCGACCGGCCCGTACCTAGCCCGCGACCCAGCCCCGTACCTAGCCCGCGCCCTGTCGACACCCGTGCCCAGCCTCGTACCTAGCCCGCACCCCATCGCCACCCGCGCCCGGCCCCGTACCTAGCCCGCGCTCGGCCCCGTTCCTAGCCCAGCGCCCGGCCCCGTACCTAACCCCGCGCCCGGCCCCTTCCCTAGCCCGCGCCCGTCGACACCAGCGCCCGGCCCAGTCCCTCGCCCATCACACAGCCCCATACCTAGCCCGCTCCCGGCCCCGTACCTAGCCCCAGCCCGTCGACACCCGCGCCTGGCCTCGTCCCTCGCCCAGCGCCCGGCCCCTTGTTTGGCCCCTCGGCCCTAGTTCAGAGCCCAGCGCCCGGCCTTGTTCCTGCCCAACGCCCGGCCCCGTACCTAGCCCGCGCCCGGCCCCGTACCTTGCCCGCGCCCGGCCCCGTACCTGCCCAGTGCCCGGCCCCGTATCTAGCCCGCGCCCGGCCCCGTACCTAGCTTGGGCCCGGCCCCTTGTTTGGCCCCTCGGCCCCGCCCCTCGGCCCCTTGGCCCCTAGCCTCGGCCCCTAGGCTCGGCCTCCTCGGCCCTTGTGTTTGGCCCCTCGGCCCCCTAGGCCCCTCGGCCCCAGTTCAGAGCCCAGCGCCCGGCCCCGTACCTGCCCAGTGCCCGGCCCCGTACCTAGCCCGTGCCCGGCCCCGTACCTAGCCTGCGCCCGGCCCCTTGTTTGGCCCCTTGGCCCCGCCCCTCGGCCCTTCGGCCCCTAGCCTCGGCCCCTAGGCTCGGCCTCTCGGCCCCCCCCCCTAGGCCCCTAGGCCCCTCGGCCCTCGTGTTTGGCCCCTTGGCCCCCTAGGCCTCTCAACCACCTAGGCCTCTCGGCCCCCCCTAGGCCCCTCGGCCCCTAGGCCCCTCGGCCCCGCCCCTTGGCCCCTTCGCTACTGCTACTGCTGCTCCTGCTGCTACTGCTGCTCCTGAGTCCTGTGCCACTATGGCGTCGCTTAGAGTTCTCTCGTTCGACCCGGAGGGCAGACCTGTAGCATTTGACACGTGGCACGATGATCTGCAACTGTACTTACTGAGCGATCCTAAGGACAGTGTCTCACTGTTTGACCATGTATCCGGTGCCGCTCCAGCCCCTCCCGCCACAGCTGACGTTTTGACTCGTTCCCAGTGGCTGTCTCGTGACGCTACTGCCCGCTTAGCCATTCGCAACCACCTGCCCGCGACCGAATGTGCTCACTTTGGAGAACACAGGACAACACAGGCCCTATACGATGCTGTAGTTGCTCGCTACTCCTCCCCTGCCACTGCTGCTATTGGCAGGCTGCTACTTCCCTACCTATTCCTTGAGCTGTCGGCTTTTGCCACAGTAGCGGACCTGGTTACCCACCTGCGCACTAGCGACGCTCGCTACCGCGCTGCCGTCCCTGCTGAGTTCCTTCCCACGAACCAGCCCCCCATGTTCATCACCCTCTACTTCATAGTCACTCGCCTCCCTGACTCCCTTCGCTCTGTCAGGGACCACTTCCTCACCCTCGACCCCACCTCCCTCACTATTGACCTCCTCGAGCAGCATCTCCTCGCAGCTGAGACTAGTGCAGTTGCTGTAGGTGCTGCTCGTGGCACTCCGCGCTCACCCTTCTTTGAGGGGTGCTCCCCCTCCCCCCTTTCCTCCTCCTTCGCCTCTGCTGCTGCTGCAGACGTCTCTGTTCCTGAGGACGTTGGTGCTGCTTCGACGAGTGCGAAGCGCCGCAACAGCAAGGGCAAGGGTGGCCGGGGTAGTGGAGGAGGCAGCGGTGGTGGTGGAGGTGGCAGTGGGAGCGGTAGTGGGGGCAGCGGTAGAGGGGGTGGAGGCGGTGGAGGTGGTGGCGGCGGTGGGACTGGTGGCGGCGGTGGAGGCTCTGGTGGCGGCGGTGGAGGCAGCGGAGGGAGTGGCTGCAGTGGAGGCGGTGGGACTAGTGGTGGTCGGTCTGGACCTCAGCGTGGAGGCCCTGGTGGTGGTCGGGGCAAGCAGCAGCAGCGTCGGAGCGAGACCCAGACGCCCCAACAGCTCCGTGAGTGGTTGGTTCAGCGTGGAACGGGTGAGGGTAGTGAGACCTGCCCGTATGTCATTCGCATGGGTGCCCGTGCGGGCCGGACATGCGAGAAGTTTCACACTGAGCGCCGCTGTTTTGCCCGCCTTGACGACGCCTGGTTTGCTGAGTTTGGTAACGACGTTGAGCGCCCTCGCTGGGCGCAGTTGCTTCAGTCAGGAGTTGCTATCTTTGACCTAGACTTTGATGTTATTATCTCTGCC